ATATATATATATATATATATATATATATAAACAAAGTTTGTGTTGTATATATATATATAACTATATATATACAAGGAAACCAATATAATGTGTGTGTATATATGATTGAGCTTAAAGTACCAGCACACATAATATAAACCTAAACTAATGTTACCCAAGCTTGATCTTGATCTTCATTATAGCTTGAACTTGGATCTTTAACTTGATAGCAAGGCTTCACTCTACTATTCCGCCAACCTCCATTTGATATGATCGTTATGGCGCAATCCATCCATTCTCCAACATGTTGTTTGTCTACAATTGATACAAAAACACAAACACTAGACAACAATATTAGAAGTAAATTGTTCGTAAATCATCATCAAAACAAGAAGGCCAACATGTACAACTTCTTGTATAGTAGGGTCTTCCTTATGTACACTGCTTGATTTGGACTTTTGTTCCTCCTCAGCTACCCGTGGCTTCATCTTTATTTTTTTGTAATTTTCTATTTGATATTTACCTTTAGCACCACCGGGTCTATAACCTCATCATGTCTACCAAAATTTTTAATTATTCTGTTTAGTCTGTTGATCTTAATCATAAATTCTTTACAATATGTACTCTTGTTCTTCTTTGTGGCAAATGGTAGTCATTTGAGAAATTTAGCAGAATTTCTCCAAAAGGCAAGTTGCTGCTCAATGGGGAGATCATTCATCTTCAAAAGCATCGTCAATATGCTTTCCCATAGTATGAGATTATTAAGAGATTATAATTTAAAGTAGGATTAGACATAACGTGGATATTGTTTGCAGATAGCGTGAAATAATTTAGAGTTAACATAACAGGATACTTACATAGCCTATTGAGAAGTTTTTATTTGTTTCCTCTTCATTCGCCTTCCTCTTGCCCTTAAGCTTATGATGCACTCTTTTTCACCCCTCTGAATTGTGGGAAGTGCATATACGTTTGAAGGAGCAGGCCCAACTTCCACAATAGGCCTATGAACAAATGTTATTGAAGCTAACTTAGCCTTTGATGCAATTGTCCTCACCCTCATAGATAAGACTTTCACCTCCTCTGATGCCCAATTTGTTATTGGAGGCCTGGTGCTGTCGACATAGGCATATTTCTTTATGCCCGTCATCTTATAGTACCAAAGCTATAGTAAATACATTAAGCATTCAAATTAGAACTAACAATGCATAAATTAGAACTAGACTAATACATTAAGCATTCAAATTAGAACTAACAATGCATAAATTAGAACTAGACTATACCAAAGTAAGTAAAATATGGGTGTAGATTCAAATTAGAACTAACAATGCATAAATTAGAACTAGACTATACCAAAGTAAGTAAAATATGGGTGTAGCTAATACTAACATGGTGTAAATTAGGACTAACACGACATAAATTAGAACTACCATGATCTACGTTAGAACCAACATGAGCCCAGATAAAACTAACATGGTATAAATTAGAACTAACATGGTATAAATTAGAACTAACATAACATAATTAGAACTAACATGGTGTAAACTAAAACTAACATGGTGTAAATTAGAACTAACATAGTGTAAACTAGAACTAACATGGCATAAGCTAGAACTAACATGACATAAATTAGAACTAGAATAAACCAAAGTAAGTAAAATATGGAACTTACACACAATAGTGTCATGCAACCTGAGACATATGTGACCCTTGGCTTCTTCCTGCCCTCCAAAGCAACTCTAATGCCCCTGGTAATTTCTGAATAAAGGAATTGGGCCCATGCAACTCTTTTGACCCTCTCAATGCTATCCAGGTACCTGAGTACAGGTCTAGGGATACCTTTCATGCTTATGGGGCACCATATCATGGAGCATTAGTACAGAATTTGCAGCAGAACAAAGTCTTGGATATCCTGCCTTTTTGTAGATTCTATGAGCCTTTCCAGTTGCCCTTCAAGGTATCTTCGATGGGTGATTGTTGCTTTTTTAACTTTTTCACCTCTTTTGTTTTGAAAAGATTAGCAAAGTATTCCACCCATATTCTGTTTCTTGAGCCCCGATTGATACTTATGAGTTCCCCATGAATTGGGAAATAAGTATGGTTATGGACCCATTGTAAATTAAATTCGACACTTTTTACTCCCTCAGTTTTTGAATTAGGGATAGAAAATGTGTCATTAGCACTATCGTAATAGCTCAGTAGCAGTTCAAGTGTGGGGCGATCAGGCGTAGGAGCCCCAAATAATATAAAGTGCTCAAATATATATTCGCAGTATGCGTCCCCATGCCATTGACATATCTTCGGGACAATACCCTTCATGAATTCCCAATAAGCCCCGATATTAGTGGTTAGCCTTATTGATTCGTCCGCATCAGTATTAGCAACTTTTTTTTGGTAAAAAATTTTGAATTTGCAAGTTCAATTAGACCAAACATGGCATAAATTAGACCTAACACTAATGGGCATCTAGAACTAACATGGACTCAAACTAGAACTAAAATGGACTCAAACTAGAACTAAAATGGACTGTGATAAACCCTAGCATTGTTTAAGATGAACTGAAATTAGGGGAAATTAGGTCGAGTCCCCAAATCCTGGATAACATAGCACTTACTACTTTTTTGGGAGGTTTCGTTGGTACGACCAGCACTTACCGTTCTTCTTTTCTGGTCTCGCCATTGTACTGCCTGCCTTTACATTTCTATAACGGTTTGAGTGGCTTCCTCCATGCTGCCAAGCCCAGATGATCGCGATGAACGACTTCATAGTCGTTAACGGATTCAGCTTCCCTGGACGACATTTTTCTGGCGAAAACCCAAGGACTGTTGAAATCCGACGAGAAAATTGAAATTTCAAGAGTTTCGGTGGCTCCTTAGCGGTGGAAGAGAGGGGGAAGAGGAAGAGGGTACTTGAATAGGGAGGGGCGCAGTAACCGAGTTTAGTCCCATCAAAGGGGCAAGCTCATAACTTCCACTGGGCTTTTAAAAAAACGGTACTTTGGGACATCGTCACAAATACTGTGTGTATTTGGGGCTTATCCACATGGGGCAGAATTCATGGGTCTGGTCACATAAATTTTCTGCTTTTAGGGTCTGGACACATTTCCCCCTCTTTTTTTTTGCATATTACACAACCTCCTATTTTCTTTATCACACCACCTCATGATTTCTCAAGCCTATTAGTATATCTCTTAATGCTTCTTTTTTACTATTAATTCATGCATATTGTTCGCATACATTTCTTTGTTCCATATATTTTTCTTTGGAACGCTTGTTGGATTGCTCTGATAATCCTGGAATTGTCCTTTAGCTTTTCGGTGTTGGCTTATTACATAAATGGATCAGATTATGTAAAGGGATCTGTTGACGATGCAGGTTACAAGTTTAATTCAGATAATTGATGTTCTGAGTGGTAAGTTTGGTATTAGTTGACTTGGTGTTGGTATAAGGTTTGATCATTGTACTTTGTGACTTAGGTATATTTTACGTGGAGAGAGTTCATTATTTGATGTATAGACATTATATCTAGTTTCAATAAATATAGTGGATTGTTGGAAGCATAGAGAGTTATTGGTGTTGGTTAATTTCTTGGCTTTATCTAAATTAATGAGATAATTAGAAATTCCAGGTTTCTATTATTGATGATAATTATTAAAGATTATGTTTTCTACTGGTCTAGAGGCGTGAATGTAGCTATGAGAGAGGTTCACTCTCTGTAGTTGCATTGCTGGTCAAGACACGTGCCTTTTATGTACATTTCTGGAACCGGGGTGTGATATAAGCTAATGTTAGAATTATTAACTCTTAAACTACACAAAATAGAGAAATGCAAAGATTAAAAATAAAAAATTGGGAAAATTTAACAAAATAGGGTTAAATTCTAGAGAAAGGTTATAGTCAATGGAAATCTTGGAGATGCTTGTAATGGAACCAGTAACATTGTCGAATATAATTTCGATGCTAGAGATTTTGTCATCGACTCGTTGAAGGAATTCCACAGAGTCTTAATGGTCAATTTGGGGGGGATAGTTAAAAGGAATTAAGAAAAGGTTATTATTGTAAATTATCACCACGTGCATCACACGTGCAATCTAGACAAAACCGAGTTAGACCATATTTAATTCGCAGGGGGCCTAAATGCAACAAAACATACTACATAATAGTAAGTGCAACTCATTGATGCTACAGGGGTTGTGTGGCAATTAACCCATTTTAATTAACCCATTTTTTGCATATATACCTCTCAAATCTTGGTACTTGCAAAATGACCCTTTAAACAAGTATAGAGGCCTTTCTACTGTTACAACTTAAGAATGTTGGGTTTTAAACAAAGGATCATTAAAATTTCTAATAGTTCGCAAAAAGAAACTAAGATTGTTAAGTGAAAGGGGTAGAAAATATCAATATAAGAGAATTGGAGGGTAATCTTGAAATTCCCGGGGTTATTTTAAAATATAGAAGATTTAAGGGGGGGTATACATATGCAAATAGAGTAAGGACAAATTTTCAAAACCAACCCATTTAGGAATTTATTGTCAAAAAACGACCTCATTCAAACAAATTTGCAAAAACCGACCTGGTTTCAGCCTCTGCGCTGAAACCAGGTCGGTTTTTAAAAAAAAAAATTCAAAACTTCACGGGAGTTGAACTTCCGTGAAGTTTACCAGCTTTTAATTAAGCTGCTAAACTTCACGGGAGTTCAACTCCCGTGAAGTTTCACAATTCAAAAATTTTATTTTTGAACTAAGAAACTTTACGGGAGTTGAACTCCCGTGAAGTTTAGTAGATTAATTAAAAGCTGCTAAACTTCACGGGAGTTCAACTCACGTGAAGTTTCAAATTTTTTTTCTTCAAAAACCGACCTGGTTTCAGCGCTGACGCTGAAACCAGGTCGGTTTTTGCAAATATCCTAGAAACGGATCGTTTTTTGACAATAAATTCCTAAATGGGTTGGTTTTGAAAATTTGTCCAATAGAGTAATCGTTTCGTCAAAGGAATAAAACCCTTCAGGAAGGAATTATTGGATCGTGGAGCCATGTCTTCTTTTCCATCGAGATCAGGATTCACCAGGAGATGGAGATGGAGCCTCCTAAATCTGCCTGCCGCCGCCGCCGCTGCTGCTGCTGCTGCTGCTCATCTTGTCTTCGCTGAGCACGAAAAGCTCGGCCATGTCTGATGCCAAGAGGATGCGCATTAGAGACAAGGTCCGAAAAATGTGAGTTTTTATTTCTGTCACTCCAAATCTTTTATGCTACACTTTCTCTCTTTAATCGATGATCTCTATTTGTGTTCCCCCTTTCCCTTTTGATTTGTTGTCTGCTATATTTTTTATGTATTAATCTGTTCGATTAGGCTAATGGAGTGGGTATCTTGATATTTTCTCCCGAACACGTCACTATTATGCTTGTTGACTTATAAATCTGCTTCTAGAGACACCTTCACTTGTGATGTTGTTAGTGGAGACTGAAGTTGTTTCTTACCATTCAATCTCTATTTAATATTTTGTGTGTCATTTTTGATTCCAACTAGGATAATAATAATTTTGAACAATATCAGAACTTGAGCTATTTTATTCGGCTGATGAGGGACAGTGTCTGTTGAGAAGCAGAGGAGAACGTGAGGGATAAAAGGATGCCTTCTTTTCTTCTGCGACAGAATCCCTAACACAAGAAACATCAAGTCCTTGGAGGTTTACCGTTTTTCAATATGAAAACATCAAAATCTAGATTAATGAATCTGACAAGTGTGTATACTCAAAGGTGATACACAATGACTATGTCATCCTCTCTGCATATGTAGATGACATTATTATCTTTGGATGCTCTCTTGAAGAAATTAAGAAGGTTAAGAAATACTTTCCCAAAACTTTGATATGAATGATCTTGGACAGCCTTAGAAAGAGTTTTCTGGTACCTTAGAGGCATCGTAGATTATTGCTCAACTTACATTGGATACCCAAATGTTATTGAAGGATAATAGTGATGCTAATTGGGTTACTGATTCCAATAGTGTCAAGCACAGTTCACTGATTTGAATCACTTAAACTAACACTCTGATATCCATAGTACTTCAACCTTCTTTTCTTACTTGTCATAGTACCACTGTTTTAAAAAACCTCCGCCTAGTTCGCTTAGGCGTATGTCTAGGCCTAGGTTGTACTTAGGCCGCCTAGCTAGCGCCTAGCACCTAGGCGGTATTTAGGCTTCCCACCAAGATTTTACGAGTGTTTAGGGGAGCATTGTCTGCTTACGTGGATTGCACCCTGTAGGCCTTGGTTGTGATTTTATGTGTTGTAGTCTACACGTCCTCCAAACTCCATTAACCTCCAAATATGAACACCTCCACTACCTCCTCCGACCTTCAGCAAAATCTCATCGATCACCACTTAAATGAAGAAAGAAATCCGCCTAGACACCAGTCCGACATCTAAGCTTTCTATAACATTGACATTCACTATTAATTATTGTAATTAAAAATAAAAAAAAGAAAATATCTTACGCTCTAGCCTTGTTAATTATTATTTTGGCTATTTAGTATCTAAGTATGCATGATTTATTGTGGAACTAAGATTGTTATTTTTTTAAAAATTTATATGAATTTAATACATATTTTTATCAATTATTATAATTAAATAATTTAAAAATAGTCAAACGCCTAGGCGCTGCTTAGGCGTATGCCCAGGGGTTTAGGCGCTAGGCGTTCGCTCAAACGTCTAGTCTGCCTAGTGCCTTCTGTAACATTGCTCAAATGCCTAGTCTGTCTAGTGCCTTCTGTAACATTGCATAGTACAGATCCCGTGTATCAAATGATTACTGACTTGAACTAGCACTTGCTGCTATTCACTTAGCTGACGATCAAGTTGAGCCGATTAGCATCCCTTTTCACTGTGCATTTTTCTAACAATGAAGATGACTAAAGGATCGAATTCACTTTCCATAGTCAACTGGTCGTCCCATACCTTCTGCCCGTCTCAACTACAGGATTCATATTCATACTTAGTGGTGCAACACTATCCTGAAGACCCTGCAAGCAAATTGTAATTGTTAGAAGCACCATGGAGACTGAGTTTATAGCTTTGGACAATACCTGTTCTGAAGCCGACTTCTATTGGATTTTCCTAGTAATCTAATTTGTGATATGTTAGTTAATATTGGTTCAAAATCCACAATTGAATTTTTGAAGCAGGATATCGTCAATAGGAAGCTCAACAGACATCCTTAAATCAATTCAAGGCTGTGAGGAGTTTAATGGGTGGGAGTGACTCTTGACTTCGTAAAGTCAAAGAAAAACCATGCATATAACTTGGAAAAAGTTTATCTAGGGCTGTAGTCCTAGAATCATCAAGCGGGATGCGGTTAAGCCTATTAATGAGTTCACGGATAGTAGGAATCTAACATTCTGACTAGCGAGCTGTTCCCGTGAACTAGGTTCAATGTGATAGAAACAAGCTCGACAAGTGATTCTTGTTTGGAGCATAGACCTTTAGAGTTACACTCCTTTGTAGCGTTAGATGTATTTATGGTTTGAACTATGTTAGCTACAACCTTATTCATATGATGACAATGCTCATGTGCTACAATTAGTTAGAATGAGTTATACTCATGGTATGTCTAATGTACAATTTGTAGAGGGTTATATATCCAGTTGTAGTACCCTTGGAGAACTTGTCTATATGAGAGGAATCGTGAATGCTGTTGTTGGAGGGTAAGGGCTGATCCCTAGAAACTCTCTTGAGACAATACTTGTGCGCGTGGACATTGTCGCTCCAACCCACTCGCTCAATGGATAATTATATACTGTGTGAATTTATCAATATCTGATAAAGGGACCTGATTCAAATCCATAGTATCACGTTGTTCAGCCTACTTTTTCTTGTTTATATATTGTTTATCTATTGTTTTTATATATATGTATATGCATGTATATATATCTTTATCCTACAACTATCCCTGAAACTCAACCTTTGGGGGGTGTTGTGGGGAGGGTGGCTATTGGGTTATTGATGTTTGCTGTGAAAAGATTGAGTTCCCACAAATCTTGTCTTCTATTTTCCATGTTTATCAATTGTGTTATCTTTAAATTAAATAAATCGGTTATAACAATCTCTCCCTTTCTTGCGCTTGTTGAACGGAAAAAAGAACATGGGAAAATTCTGTTAAACGTGAACGTGAGAGATATGAAATATTTTAGAGAACTACGAAAGAAAAGCGGGATTAGGTTTTCAACGTTTCTCTTAGAGGCCTATAAAAAGGAGCTATCAGAAGAAGAAAAATCACAGAAATATCTACGTCTCTTTCTCCCTCCCTCTCAAAGTTCTTAAAATTCCCTAATATAATTTTACAAGTTTTTCTTTGTTTCTATTAATCCCGGGCAACATCATCCAAGCAGAAACTTAAGGAGTCGCCACATCCTCAAGTGCTGGTCTTTCTGGGCACTTCTACTGCTAGGAGATGGGCCGCTGTTAAAAGCCTGTGCGAGAGCAGATATCCAATTTTCTAGTGTAGTATTTACAGGACTACACCCACAAGCCAAAGATCATTACTTTTCTTTTATTTTTCATTGAATTGCTTATTTCTACAATTTGCCGAACAGTCTGGAATGATTGCCCCATGATAATCTACAGTTGCCTTCAAATGGTTTAGAGCATTACATGGCTTTGGTTCAGGTCACATCCTAGTAAACTACAATAACGTGTTGTACTATATAGTGACAAAATCCAATTATCCAACTGGGATCAATTCAATACTTGATATGTTGTGCTTAGAAACAAACGGTCTAGGACTAGGGAAATTTAACTCAATTCAAAGAAGTCCAACAAAATTAAGTTTGATACTGAATCATATGTACCAGCGAAAGTGTAAAGGAAAAGGAGTTCGACTATGAAAGGACAAAGAGACCTAGGCACTATCAGAGTGAAACCTAAATAAAGCCAGAACTTGATGCTTGATAATAACTAGTAGTTAATTTTTTTAAGATAATATTAATAAGGTATTCTCAAGTCAATCTAAATGAAATCTGATTGGATTGAATAAGTACTTAACCATAAGCAAATCCAATTAGACATACAATAATTTGGAGTGCTTAGACGTCAACAGATTATGTGCCATGGAAGATGTAGGACAGATCCAAATGTGATTCTGTCAAAACAATTGATGAAGATTGGATTAAATTAATGATTTGATTTTTCGTTTAGTTGAGATCTTTTGTTAGGATTGAGTTTATTGGTTGGGTAGGATTGAACTTGTTATATTGCTGGAAAGTGTGATTTGATGTAATCTATTAGTTAGGTTTGGATTTTATTTTAGTTTTCTAAATAATGATGTACTTTTTCATTTGAGGGAGGATGAGAGAAGAATGTTTGTGAGAAACCTTGTGTGTGAATTGTAGCTAGTATTAAATATTTGAGTTGCCGGCATGTGAAGTGTCCGGGTGAGAAGCCACCATTTGTATCTTTTTTATTCTTAAATGAAGGGTGCAATTTTCATATCTATTTCTTTATTTTTTATTCAAATTATCAGTCTCTACAGATTGCTGTGCTTACTGTTCAATGAAGGTGTAGTTCTGGTTGCCTCCAAATACAAACTACCTTTTTCTTCCAATTATTAGATAGTCCGGCAATGTTTATTATGTTTTAAATGTTTTCATATAAAATATGAACATAAAAACTATAAAACTCTAGGCTAATGTACGAGCATGTGTTATAGATAAGACACCCTACAGATTTTTGGTTAGTGCAAATCCTGAAAATCTAGGATGTTGATAAGTCGTGGAACTAGATTCAAGAGTAGTAAAATTGTATGTGCATAAATTAATGTTATTTATCCATAACACAGATTCATAACACAGATTCATAATGTTATTTATCCATAACACAGATTCATAATGCTAAACTAGTTAAAGAATATAATTTACTCAAATAGTGTAAAATATTTTCAAGTTGTATAATCACTAGCTACAAGATTAATTAGAATAGTAAGCATGGTTACAGAGTAATAAAATCACATGCGTGTAAATCAATATTATTTATCCATAACATATATAATATGCTAAAGAATAAAGCACGGAATAAAACTTTCTATATAAATTACCTCAACAAGTTTAAATCATCCAAAACAAACATAAAGTAATAAAATTGTGAAGCGGAACATTAGTTAAAAGCATTTGAATGGTCCATGTGAACTGCAATTAAGTAAAGTGGTTTTCTCCTATTTACCACCAAAATCTAACCTATTTGCAAATTCATCACCCTCAAATCTGCATAATTTGCTAATTACTCCTGGATTCTTCAACATTGAATTTTATTTACTCATCTTGTTTAACAGCGTCAAAAATCCATTGGGCAAATTAGCAAATGGACATATTTCGGTGGTAAATCTGCAAATATAATAGAGTTTGGGGGTATATAGGGAAAAAGCCCTTATATTTTTAGGGAAAGGGTTACTTTCATCATTTCATCCCTTCTCACTTTGAAATTTAGCAGTCTTAAGTAAGAGGAATATTTTAATTCTGTCAAAGATTATAGTGCAAGTTAGCAAAGATTCAGATTGAGAGGTAGATCTTCAAATAAGATAGATAAATAACCTTAAATTAAACTACAATGATGGTCTATGTACTTAATATATTGAGGTCCAATGAAACAAATTTATCAAGCAACCACAATTGCAAATGTTTAAGGTAGAAAACTTAAGAAGGATCATTATGAGTTATATAAGCTTTGAGAGACTAGCAAATTTCATAAGAATCATAAGTACGGTACGAAGGCTTTGGTAAAACTAAGATATAGAGATATAGTGGTCTAACATTATAACATTTTCATGTCACTGCTTTGTTTATTCAACGATAAGGATTATTTCGCCAAACCTTATTGGAACTTGCTAGTTATTAATAAAAAAATATAAATACAATGTTGTTTAGTATTCCAGTGTTAATATTGTCAAACTCAGTATTGAAACAATCAAAATTGCTAAAACCAAAAACCTGAAAAGAGGGTCTGATACTAATATTGAAAATAAGATTCGAAATATTTAATGTTTGATGTGGTTGCAGTTAAAGAATTATTATTCCTGGTAGTTATGTTACTTATGTAGGCATTAAACTAGAAAGCGATTCAGCCCAATGAATAATTTGTGTTTGATTGATTAAGCTTAAGGATGTTGTTATTTATTTATTTGAAATATTTCAAGTGCTAATGCTTTTCTATTGTGGACTGAGACCTTTATCACCCACAAAATATTAACACAGTAAAAACTGGAGTGGACTATGTCTCTCGAACATTCATTACGGCAACAAGTATTGTCCTGACACACATCATGCAGCAATATGCAAGCCAGCTTATAGTAGATCTCAAGTCACATTACACCAAGAGTTGTATAATTAGTCTATCTTAAATTTCTTGACTGAAACTTTAATTATTTTTCAAACTAATATTTTTCTTTTTATTTAGTAAGTTAATTTTTTTCTCATTATAATTCATATCTTTCTTTACAGGTTTTACCATGCTTATGAAAATTACATTGCATATGCCTTTCCAGTAAGTTCATCAGCTCAAAGTATCTCATTGTTTTGTTCAATTGACTTATTCTCTGATCTTTTCAACTTTTGCGATGTTTATGATAATTATTTTCTCGTGTTTTTTAGCATGATGAGTTAAAACCTCTTACCAAATCATTCACTGACTCCCTCAGTGAACTAGGGAATCTAAAGGTGGTTAACTGATGTTAAAGGATCATTTTTGGTAAACCAAATGTTTTTCTCGTTTAATAGTATGTTTGTTCCTTATTGCAGCTCGAACATTTACCTCATAATTATGTAGGATCAGCGTTAACTCTTATTGAATCATTATCAAGGTAAACTTCTAAATTAACTGGTCGCTTTTGCAATATGAGCATAACCTACGACTGCAACATGTATAGTATTTTTTTAATTGAAATGCAACATGTATAATATTGATTGTGTTAGTTGCTTCTTGGTTACTCTTATACACTTTTTCCCCATATTGATCCCCTAAGACAATAACTAGAAGATGTTCTATTTTGCATCAGTCTTTGTCGTATAATTCTTCTGTGGTCCTCAAGTTATTTACTATAGTTTTCCACTTTGTACTACTTATACTGCCTTGCCTTGTATCATGGAGAAAAAAATTAGTAACTTAGAATCTAGTCTGTACATGAAAGGCATCCGTAATGTATAATATAGTCTGTATATGTTTCCTCTTTTTCGTATTTATTTGTTTGGTTGATGTAAAAAGTACCTAGGTGCATGTATTTTGTTGGTGGATGGAGAGTGGAATCATGTGGAATTTTTTTGGTTCCTTCCAGGGCGAGAAGCAAGGACATGACTTTAGTGAAAAGTAGGAAGTGTGGATGATGTTGTCCTAGTCCACCATATGATGCTCCAAATATTTTCACTCTCTCTATGTTTATGATTCTTGGTTATTTGGGTTGCTGAGTGCTAGAATGCTGAAACTGTGGACTACCTTGTCAACGGTGACTCAAGCAAAGGAGATAAATTGTTAGAGCTTGATACAACAAATAACTAACTTAATAATCTCACCTTGCCTTAGGCTTTGGCAAAAAGGAGACTAACAACAGTTGATATAATACGATTTGAGAGGTCAAGGGTGAAAAGAAGAGCGAAGGAGGTTAATAGTATATATATGCGAAAAATGAGTATGTTTGGTACCAAGCACAAAATTGGGTTCTTGGTAGTGACGTGGCTAATTCTCATTCATACATTTAAACTTTCCCACTTAAAAATGGTCCCTTCTTGTTTACTCACCCATTGAGTGAGTGGATGAGAAGTGACCACCTCACTGCTAAGCACCAAATTTGATGCTTGTTATGAGCCAAAATGGGTTGCTAACCCACTGCCATGTGAGCCCTACACCGATGTGACTAGCAGGGGGCTCACATGGCGTAGGATTAGCAGACCATTTTATAAAATAAGCTGTCGGCTCAAATATATTTTTTTCCATATACACACACACCTATACATATACATATACATATATCTATGTATGTATTTTAGCATTGCTTCTTAATTGTTGCGTAGATAGCTTGAAGTGCATGATTATGTTCGAGGCACAACGAAGATATAGTGATAATAGCAATTGGCATACTGAACTTATAATAGGAAGTTTATTTGTTGAATCATAGTGACTTAGGAAGGCAGATAATCATTCAAAAATATATGCTGAAGCATTACCTATGAACAGATTTAGTATGAACTAAAGAAAGTTAGGTTCAATAATTTTTTTTCTGACCCTATGGAAATATGTAATTTGCGGGCAATTAAAAAGTCATCATCTATGATTACATGTGGAAGAGAGGTACAATGAAATTGGAAAAAAAGTTTCATGAATCTCATCTTAATGATCTTCCCTCGGATATCCTTATGGAAATCTAGTCTTAATCTGAACAATTCTCATATTACCAGTCCATACAAGATACACACAATGTTCAACGGCCATCCATGATAGTATTAAAACTAAGTTTTTAATGACCTATCATCTGAAATGTCATATTTTCTTTCAAAATTATCTTGAATGCCTTTGACAGCTGTTAACAGCGGTACTGTCATAACGTTATTGCATTATTAATTGGACCTCTGTGTCTGGCTTATTGCAGTCTTGTTGTTTTAGGTAACACAACAGAATTTGAAAGAGGAGTTTTTTGGCTTTCTGATAATCTTACATTTGATGTTGATGCTCGAATAAATCTTTTTGAGGTATACATTTTCACATGGTATGTTTTCTGTCCAACAATTTTAAGGGAGGAGGGGAAAAATAAAGTTAGTTTGAAGACGTTCTGATTTTTAAAATCTATGCAGATATCACTCATTTTAAAACAAAATTGTATAAAAAACATTAATGGTTTGTTCTTCTATGTTTTACTGTATTTTAGTGCAACATAAGAGTTCTTGGAGGGCTTCTTTCTGCGCACATCTTAGCAACTGATTCTAAGAACAGATTGACACCTAGAGCTTACAATAATCAGCTACTCAATCTTGCTGAAGACCTAGGTCAGCGTTTCTTACATGCCTTTGACTCTCCAACTGGCTTGCCATATGCATGGATAAATCTCAAGGTACTGATTATTAGCATATGCTTCGATGCAAAACCTTCTCATCATTATCTTTAAGAATTGTTAGCTCTTGACTATTCTTTTGTAAAATGTAATGTTTCTACTCCTTTTTCTATGTGAGTGTCCATTTGTGAATGTGTGGGTGGATGGGGTGTGTGTGCATGTGTGCATTCATGGACAGGTTTGGTGGATGGTTACCGGTGTTTTTTTGGGGAGGGGGTGTCAAAGGACTAGTTTGTTGGGCTGAAGGTGTGCAAGTGAACACATGCACGTTTCATGGATGGATGGTGGTGGTTGTTGGGTTGGAATGAGGGGAGTGGGCAAGTGTTTTGCAGTTGCTCCATCTAGAAATTATCTTAGAGCTATGCTTGATATAATATGCCAGATAAATTAATCCAATACTAGCAATATAATTAAAAAAGTAAATGCTTCACCTGCAATCAATGTAGAAGAGAAGAGCAAAAGAGAAGAATAAGAAGAAACAAAAAGAAAGACAGGGTAAAGAGAGTTTTTGGACTGACAGTTAGGAAATAAAATAAATAACATCACGAAAGAAGAAACAAATAGAAACTTAGAATATGTATTATAATTTTTTGAAAGTATTTTAGATAAATAAATCTAATATTTTAGAAAATATATTTAAAAAAGCAAATTCATCTTTAGTGTAGATGTTGCAGAAACGAAAGAAGAAAAAGAGAAAGAAAGGGGTGAAGACAAGAGCTTTCAAGTTGAAAATTTGGGAGTAACTAACAAATAACAACATGGACGAAGGAAAAAAACATAAAAACTAATAGGTATACCTTTTCTGGAAATATTGGTGATCATCATAGAAGCTTCGGAGTACATCAGATTGATTATTGATAAGAGAAGAAATTTGGGGGGATGGGTAAAGGGAGTATTTTCGGTTGTGACCCATTGGAAGAGAGTGATGTCAAATATTGATAAAGAGAAGAC